GGGACCAGTTGAGGCTTGAAGATGGTATTCTTCTCCGGAAATGGGAAACTGCAGATAGGAAAGTGACGACCTGGCAAACGGTAAAATTGAGAAAATTACGGGAAGTTGTGCTGCGTCAATCCCATGATACTTTAACATCATGTACTGCAGGTCCTGTACCATTCTTCTACATCTTGCCTCATATCTATCCAGTAAAATCTCTGTCGTAGGTGACTCAATGTTTTCTTAACTCCGAGATGTCCTCCTGTTCAACTATCATGGGATTGACGCAGCACAACTTTTTTTAACTTTCTCGGTATAACTGTTTGCCAGGTTGCCACTTTTCCATCTGCAGTTTCCCATCTCCGGAGAAGAACACCATCTTCAAGCTTCAACTGGTCCCATTGTGTCCAATAGTTCTTTGTCACAGTGCTTAAGCTAGACACCTTCTCCCAAGCAGGGCACAAAACACTTGTTTCTAGAAAATCAATTATTGGCTTCAAATCTTGGTCTTTCTCCTGCTCTGCTTTAATAGCTATACCTGGTTCCGTTTCACCAACACTTTGATTCAGCTTGATAACACCTGGTTAGTTCAATTTCTGTTTTAACACTTAACGGAATTTAGCCTTTGTCGTTCCCAAACGTCATTTTATCAAATTTAATTACACACATCCTTTGTAGTAAGTAGTCCAACCCTAGTATGCATTGGTCTTCAATGTCAGCCAAGTATACTTTGTGAATGTCCTTTAAGCCCATGAGTTCAATAGTTACCCACACTGGTACCCACAACCTTGCATAATGTCCTGTCACACCATAGAGCTTCTGTATGGTTTCTGGTACTCCTTTGTGAACTTTTAGCCATCCAGCTTTCCTGTCACGTAGACACCATGTGTGCTTGCCATTTTACACCTAGCTGTTGGGACTTTCACAGTGGGGGTTGGTGGGCGTCCCTCAACACCAACCACTACTGGTTTCCTAGAGGCTGACTTATTGGTAGTATTCTTCTTACACTGGCTCCTCATATGTCCTTGCTCTCCACAGTTCCAACAACCTTTCTGGGTAGCAGCTTTTCCTGCTGTTGCATCTTCCCTGTGTTGAAGTTGCCAGCATTGAGCTTTCTTGTGCCCAGGTTTGTTACAGTACCAGCAAAGTCCCTGAAACTTCTCTGAAAGTTGACCTTTTCTGGCCTTGAATCCTGACGACTGTAATAACCTTGGTACCTGTGTGCTGGACTTAATGTAGGATTCAAATTCAAGAGCTCTAGCCATTGCATTCTGCATAGTAGAAGGGTGTGCTTGCTTCACTTGTATCTTCAGTTGTGGACTGTCCAAGGCATCTACAAACTCATCCCCCAGCAACAACCTGAGAACATCGGATGGCACAGTTGGGTAGGCCTTGTGTGCCATACTTTCCAAATCCTGTGCCAGCTCTTGCAGCCTCTCCCCTTTAGCACGGATTCTCGTCCTAAACCTAACCCTGTAGACTTTGGACTGATCTTGAGTTCCATACCCGAGTTCTAGAGCAGTTACCAGTGCTCTATAGTTGTGCCTGTCGTCTGTTGACAACTGTCCAAGTATTTCCAGTGGTTGTCCCTTGAAGCTCATTGCCAGATATACTGCTTTTTGCTCCTCTGTCCATCCATTCATCACTGCGGGGATCTCAAATTGTGCTCTGTATGTTTCTCATGGTGCCTTCCCATCGAATTCCTGTGGTTCCTTCGTAGATCACCCCTATTGCTGACGTTTATATCTGGGATGTGACTTCTAACAGGACTGAAAATGTCTGCATTAGGGTTTAGTTGCGGGGTCTGGAAGGGGCTTGCCGTTGTCTGGGGCTGATTAAGTCCGTGTTTAATGTATCCTCCTTGTGTAAAAGACAATAAATCATCTTAAATGTATTTCATTCGCTTTGAAATTATCAATTTGTACTTGTTGCCACTGTTGTTGGATATTTTGTAGTTGCTGCTGACTTTCCTGCAACTGTTGGAGACTTTCTTCCTGTTTCCTTTCTTGCTCCAGTTGCCACTGCTGTAATCTCTCTTCTTGTTTATTTTCTTTCTCCTCTAACCACTGCTGTAGTCTCTGTTGATTATTTTGCTCTTCAAGCTACCACTGTTATAAGTTTTCTTGACACTGTCGTTGTCTCTCTTCTTGTTTCTTTTCATTTTCCTCCAACCACTGCTGTAATCTCTCTTCTTGTTTCTTTTCTTTCTCTTCCAACCACTGTTGTAGTCTCTTTTCTTGTTTATTTTCTCATTCTTCTTGTTTCTTTTGCTGTTCTTGTATTTTTGCCATCAAATCTGCTAAGTCGTAGTTTGATTTGCCACTTATCGTTTCCTTTTGTTTCTTTTCCATCCCACTCTCTCACACCAATTTGTTACGTCTCTGGTCGTTTTTTAATTTCCCGTATAATTTTGCCTCAAGAAAAGTTATTCATATTGTTACGGCTCTGGTCGTTGGTTAATTTTCCGTAGAAATTCTTTCCGAAAAAACTTTAGCGATACAAGTCGTTTCTTAAATAAAACTAGTTTATTCTTTCTCAAAATAACTTTGCAATACACTTAATTTCCACAGTAACTTTAACTTAAACACACACTACAATTCACAACGATTCACGCACTTTACTTATGTCACTGTCTGCAATTATCTATGCCGTCACTTCTTGCCGGCCTAAAGAGCGTCTGGCAAACACGAACCATCTAGATACTCATTACGTGTTATTAGCGTCACGTGACTTCCGCTGTTATTGAGGAGAAACCTTACAGTTGTTTAGTGTGTGGAAAACAATTTGGAACCAAAGTTGATTTAAAAATACATGAAACAATACACGCTGGGGAGAAACCCGACAGTTGTACAGTGTGTGAAAAACAGTTTGGAGCAAAGAGTCAATTAGAAACACACGAAAGAATACACACTTACAGTTGTACAGTGTGTAAAAAATGATTTAGAGAAAAGGATTATTAAAGATACATGAAAGAATTTACACTGGGGTGAAACCTTACAGTTGTACAGTGTGTGGAAAAAGGTTGGGAAACAAGGCTTATTTTAAAATACATGACATATATTATAGTTGTACAGTATGTTAAAAAAAAAGTTTAGAAGAAATAGTGATTTAAAAACACACGAAAAAATACACACTGGGGAGAAACCTTACAACTGTACAGAATGTGGAAAAGAGTTTGGAGCAAAAAGTCAGTTAAAAGTACATTAAAGAATACCCACTGGGGAGAAGCCTTACAGTTGTACAGTGTGTAGAAATCAGTTTGTAACAAATGTCAATTAAAAACACACGAAATAATACATACTGGGGAGAAACTTTACAGTTGTACACCGTGTGAAAAACACTGTGGAACAAATGGTGAATTAAAAATACATGAAAGAATACACACTGGAGTGAAACCTTACACTTTTACAGTGTGTGAATAACGGTTTGGAAACTAGAATTATTTAAATACACATGAAAGAATACACACTTGGGAGAAACCTTGCACTTGTATAGTGTGTAGAAAAGAGTTTGATAAAAAAAGTCGTTTGAAAACACCTGAAAGAATAAAAACTGGGGAGAAACCTCATAGTTCTACAATATGGGAAAACAGTTTGGAACAAAGAGTCCTTTTAAGTACATTAAAGAATACACACTGAGGACAAACCTTACAGTTGTAAAGTATGTGAAAAACAGTTTGGAACAAAAGGTGAATTAAAAATACATGGAAAAATACACACTGGGCAGAAACCTTTGTGTTGTATATTGTGTGAAAAACACTGTGGAACAAATGGTGAATTAAAAATACATGAAAAAATACACACAGAGAAGAAACCTTCCAACTGTACAGATTGTGGAAAGTAGCTTGGAAGAAAAAGTCAATTTATAGTACACAAAAGAATACACAGGGAGGAGAAATCTTACAGTTGTACAGTGTGTAGAAATCAGTTTGGAACAAAGGGTGCTTTAAGAGTACATGAAAGAATACACACTAAGGAGAAACCTTAACGTTGTACAGTGTGTGAAAAAACAGTTTGGAACAAAGTGTCAATTAAAAATATATGAAATAATACACACTGGGGAGACAACTTACAGTTGTACAGTGTGTGAAAAACAGTTTTAAAGAAATAGTGATTTAAAAAGACATGAAAGAATACAAACTGGGGAGATAACTTACAGTTGTAGAGTGTGTGAAAAACAGTTTGGAAGAAATAGTGATTTAAAAAGACATGATAGAATACACACTGTGGAGAAACCTTACTGTTGTACAGTGTGTGAGAAACAGTTTTGATCAAATGTTTAATTAAAAATACGTGATAGAAGACACACTGAGGAGAAACGTTATAGTTGTACAGTGTGTGAAAAAGAATTTGGAAGAAATAGTGATATAAAAAGACATGAAAGAATACAAACTGGGGAGATAACTTACAGTTGTACAGTGTGTGAAAAACAGTTTGGATCAAATGTTTAATTAAAAATACGTGATAGAAGACACGCTGAGGAGAAACGTTATAGTTGTACAGTGTGTGAAAAAGAATTTGAAAGAAATAGTGATTTAAAAAGACATGAAAGAATACACACTGGGGTGAAACCTTACAGTTGTACAGTGTGTGAAAAACAGTTCGGAACAAAGGGTAAGTTAAAAATACGTGTTAGAAGACACACTGGGCAGAAACGTTATATTTATACAGTTTCTGAAAAACACTGTGGAACAAATGGTAAATTAAAAATACACGAAAGAATACACACTGGGGAGAAACCTTACGACTGTTCAGATTGTAGAAAACAGTTTGTAACAAAGAGTGTTTTAAACACACTGGGGAGAAACATTACAACTGTACAGATTGTAGAAACAGTTTGTAACAAAGAGTGCTTTAAAAATACATGAAAGTACACACACACTGAAGAAAAACTGTATTGTTGTATAAATTGTCGAAAACAGCTTCGGAAAAAAGTGACTTAAAACAACATCAAAAACACATACTTGTGAGAATTATAGTTGCAATATGTGTGGAAAAGACTTTAGATAAAACAGTTCCTTAAAATAGCATGAACATATACGTACTGGATAGAAACCCTGAAGTTGTGAGTTTTGTAGAAAGCTATTTCAAAGTAACTCTTAACTTGAAAAACATGAAGGGAATACATACTGGGGTGAAACCTTACAGTTGTGTAGTATGTAATCAAGAGGAAATAGATCAAAAAGGAATACATACTGTACAGATAACTTTTCAGTTTATTTAAAACAGTTTGCAACAAAAGATAGTGTTACGTCTGTGCTCGTTTGTTTAGAAATATCATAAAGGAATATATACTGGAGTTTTTCAGTTTATTGAAAACAGTTTGGAACAAAAGATAGATTAAAATACTTGAGAGAAAACATACTGTTGTCTACTGTGTTGTGAATAACTTGGAACAAACGGTAACTACTACTGAATGTGATACTTGTTTATAAGTTGTTGAACCACAAGAGACAGGATTAAGGTGTATAGATCTGTCTTTGGTGTGTTTTTGATACCTGTAATTGGAAATTATACTGTGTTAGTGTTGACATGGTAAACCTGTATCTGTATATTAATATTCCAGTATATACTGAGAATGTGCTGCTATGATTCATTTTCATGGATTTGAATAAACACTTACAGCCTTTTGGGACGTGATTGACTCCAAACCTCCAGTCTCATGATTTTTTATGTTGAAGAAAGTAGTCATTGAGTTTGTACGAAGATTATTCTGTTATAAACATGATAAAAATAAATAGAATATTGATAAACAGTTTTATTTTGTCTAAATATTGACATTTCTAGATATTAAAATTACATATACACATTTCGAAAAGAACTTTAAAATATTGATGTCAGTCATCATGTTCAGAGAAAAGAGTATTAGAAGATTTTGTTATAAACAACCAATTAAAATGGGAAGATATCTCCTAGAATTAACCATGAAATCACTAACTTAATGTTGGTTGTTGTAACAATATACCATCATATTTCCACAGCTGAATTAAAATTGTTTGAAATATGGACTGATACCAACATTTTTCTGTTTTCAGTAGTAAGTCGATGTAGAAAAAGATTTTATAAAGTGTGAAACTGCATAAGTTGCATCTTAATTATTTTTTATCTTAAATGTTTGATGCTCATTGTAAAAATCATTAAATTTAATTTAAAAGCTTATCAAATAAAGTAATATATAAGGTATTTATTATTAAAACCTGGCGTGGCCTTTTAATTTGGGTGCTCAACTCATAATGTACAAGTCATGGGATCAAAACGTGTTACTGAACATGCTTGGTCTCTCACCTGTGTAATGTGACGGTCAATCCTACTATTGGTTGGTAAAGAGTAGCCCTAGAATTTATAGTAGGCATTGTTGACTAGCTTTCTTCCCTGTAGTC